TATGTTCAATATAGGACAGTTGTCTCAGCCCCTTGTCCTGATCCAAACTGTCCTGCTTCAATAGCCTTAGAAACCCTAAGAAACTACTTTTAGAGGACGGTCTGAAGAAGAGAATCAAGGTTTCAGGAACTTAAAATTCAACACGGATGATTACAATAGAATTATGAACTTGCTTCAACAATCTCCACCAACTTCACCAAATGGATCTAGACCAGACTCACCTAGAGTTATGCCTCAAGCTAATTTTGTTGTCAGAAACTTGTCAAGCTTCCCAAACTTTGCAGGCAAGTTTACTCTTTCTGCATATACCAAATCAAATTTGGTGGGTTTGAGTGATGTATAGATCATCGATACAGGAGCTACTAACCATATATCTTGTAGTTTGTCATGCTTTTTAGCTCATAAATTGATTAAGGATGCTTTTCTCACCCTGCCTAATGGTCAAAAGGCAGAGGCCACTCATATAGGGATAGTGAAGTTAACATGTGGTTTAATCCTTCATCAAGTCCTCTATGTCCCATCCTTTTCCTTTAATTTGATCTCAGTTAGTAAACTAACCAAAACACATCCCATCTCACTTACCTTCAAATCATCCTTATGTGAAATCAAGGACCTTCTTACCAGGAGGAGGATGGGCTTGGCCCATCAAGTTAGAGGTCTTTACCAAATGTCTCGATGCTCCCATTTTGTTCCAGTGCCTGCTGCTAAAGGAAAGCCATCCATTATAGCAGCAACCTAGAATTTCTCACAACAGAACATGGACTTGTGGCACTCAAGGCTAGGACATCCATCCTCATTGAGACAAAATGTAATCCAACAAAGTAGTAATGTAGTAGAAAAATCTGTATTAGATCATTGTGAAACTTGTCACTTTGCTAAGTAGAAGAAACTACCTTTCAATTTGAGTGATTCTGTAGCTGCCTCACCTTTTGACTTGATCCATGTAGATATTTGGGGGCCTCATTTAGTTACTAGTTACAATGGATTTAGATATTTTCTAACTATTTTGGATGATTGTAGTAGAAGTTTATGGGGTTCCTGATGAAAGCTAAGTCAGAAGCAAGAAATTTGCTGCAAAATTTATGTGTTATGGTGAATGTGCATTTTAGTCAGAAAATCAAAATCATCAGGTCAGATCAAGGGCTTGAATTTCACATGCCTAATTTCTACTCCTAACATGGGATTCTCCACCAAGTGTCTTGTGTTGAGGTTCTACAGCATAATGGAAGAGTGGAAAGAAAGCACCCGGACATATTGAATATAGCTAGGGCTGTAAGATTCCAATCTGGTTTACATCTTTCATTCTGGGCAGATTGTGTACTACATGTTGTGTTTCTTATCAACAGATTACCTTCAGCATTGTTGAATGACATTACACCCGTTGAGAGGCTATATGGAAAACCTCTTGATTACAGTTTCTTGAGAGTTTTGGCTACATTTGTTATGCTGGATCTTTATCACAAGGCAAAAAGAAATTTGATAGTAGAGCTAGGCAGTGTCTCTTTTTGGGTTTCACTTCAGGTATAAAAGGTTACAAGTTACTTGACTTGTCTTCTCATGCAGTGTTTGTCTCAAGGGATGTAAAGTTCTATGAACAGATCCTTCCTTACCAAAAGGATTATTCTCCCCAGCCTACTACATCCATTCACTTACCTTCTCACCCTATTTCTTTTGATCCATTTCCAGATCCCACCACACCACCTTCTCCCCTACATCCATCACCAACACCACCATATACATCTCCTCAATCTCCTTCCCTTCCTCAGATTGAGGACATGAGGGAGGGATCCATTCATGATGATTCTGCTTCTGAGGGAGAAGCTGAAACATTAACTTTTGATCCACCTGAACCCTCTTTACCTGAACCTTCTCTGAGAAGATCAGATAGACAATCCAAACCACCATCATACCTTGTTCAAAATTACAAAACACAAATTCCTAACCTTAAACCCCACCAATTCTAGTTCACACTCACTAGACACCTTAGCCAATTTTATCTCTGATCAAAACCTTACACCAGAATTCCAGGCCTATGCTCTCAGTGTTCTTAGCATGTCAGAACCAGACTTTTACAGAGAAGCCATTCAACACGAGCATTGGAGAAAAGCAATTGTGGAAGACTGAAGGCACTGCAAGCTAATGGAACCTAGGAGATTGTTAACTTACCACCAGGCAGAAAGGCAGTGGGATGTCGTTGGGTATTTAAAGTTAAACTGAATCCAGATGGCAATATGGAAAGATACAAGGCACGATTGGTTGCAAAGGGATTTACTCAAATTCGTGGAATAGATTTCTTGGACACTTATTCTCCAGTAGCCAAGATTAATATAGTTAAGACTTTATTGTTTGTTGCAACAGTTAAGAACGGGCATTTACATCAGATGGATGTCAGTAATGTGTTTCTTCATGGAGATTTGGATGAATTAATATACATGGAAGTTCCCTCAGGTTTAACATTGCAGAATTTTGAGCACAAACATGTTTGTTTGCTTAAGAAATCCTTATATGGACTTTAGCATTCTAGTAGGCAATGGTTTGCCAAGCTAGCTGCTTCTTTAATAAAGTTTGGTTTCAAGCAATCTCAAGCAGATTATTCCATGTTCACAATGATTAAAGGTGAAGTGATTATCATTCTCCTAGTCTATGTTGATGATATTATAGTTGCAGGAAATGATTTGTTAGAAATTGTCAAGACAAAAGGTTTCCTTGCAAAGGAATTCAAGATCAAAGATTTGGGAAAACTAAGATACTTCTTAGGACTGGAAATTGCAAGAACCCCAAGAGGAATCTTTGTTTTCAGAGAAAGTATTGTCTGGATATGCTAAAAGAAGCTGGATTTCTAAGCTGTAAACCAGTGTTAACACCTATAGAGTTAAAGATCAGACTTTATGCAACAACAGCCAACAGGTAATCTACTTCCAGATTCAACAACTTATAGAAGATTGGTTTGTAAATTACAATATCTTACTACAAAGAGACCAAACATTACTTATGTGGTACAACAGCTATGTCAAAAGGCACCCACAGATCAACATATGCAAGTTGTGCATCACGTTTTCAAGTATCTCAAAAACAAACCAACACAAGGGCTGGTGTTCATAACCAATTCTTCATTGCAACTTAAAGGATATTCATATGAATATTGGGCAGCTTGCCCAGATACAAGGAAATCTCTCACTGGTTACTGCACTTTTCTTGGAGACTCACTCATTACATGGAGAACTAAGAAGCAGCAAACTGTATCCAGATCCTCTTCAAAGGCAGAGTACAGGTTCATGTGAAATGGTGTGGTTGAAGCAGCTGCTATTGAAAATGAGGGTGAATCATACATCACCAACATCTTTGTTTTGTGACAATCAGTCTACGATCCATATTGCACACAATCCAGTGTTTCACAAAAGGATAAAATACATTGAAGTGGATTGTCACTTGATTCATCAACACATTTTGGACAAAATTGTTACTGTTACTTACGGCAGATCTGAGCTTCAACTTGCAGATACTTTTACCAAGGCGTTGAGTTGACATTGTCTTCACTTTCTTCTTGCCAAGCTTGGAGTAGCAGATGTTTATGCTCCTCGGCTTGAGGGAGGGGAAGAAGAAGAAAGCCAATGAAGAAGAAGAAGGTCAAGACATTGACCCGGTTTTTGGACTTTGGTTTAACAAATTCAACTTGGAGAACCGGTCCTTTAATCGCTACTTGAAGAAGCGCGTTTTGACACCGTTTTTCTCTACACGGTGTCGTTCTACTTACAAAAAAAAAAAACACAACACTTAGCCGATATAGTGTAGACAGTTGTACAACTATCATTGGTTTATTTAATTGTTAGTTTGCTAGTTACTGTTTATTAGCCGTTGGTAGTTAATTACTGTAAGTATGGTTCTCTTGCTGCAGCGTATTTAAGCTGCTTGTAAATACTTTTTCATCTATCAATGAAATTACAAGTTTCTCCAACCCTATTCTTAGAGGGGAAGGGAGGAATCAGAGGGTTAATTTAGATGGAGGATATTCAGATCGGTTATTCTTCCTAGCGTTAATTTAATGCTTCTAGAAGATATCGAATTTGTTTTTATTTTTCAATCTAGATTTCAGAGATATTGTTTTAAAATAGGTTATTTATATTCTTATTCTGAACTTTTATTAAAATCGGCATAAACCGACGCATGAACTAGTTGTACCACGGTAAAACCATTTCACTTGTAAAACCGGCGTACCGACATAAATCGGGTTGACAATTTTTTCTCCAACCAGAACCAAAAGTCCCAAAATGCGCGACAGTGCCGCACAACTAACTTCTAGTGATTTACGGTTTATTGTTTAAGCGTTACAAAACCGTTGGTTAACCGTTGATAGAACCGTTCATGATATATAACATATAAGACTTGTATATTACACCAATTAAAAAATGAAGTTATCATTGACCATAAACAATTTCAAATTCATATCATCACCAAAATATCTAATAAATCATTCAAACCATCTCACAAAAGAAACCATATTTTTTTAATTCAAATTAAAATTACGGTTTCAGTAGGTAGCGGACAACGTAAAGTCGACAACAAGGTTGGAATGAGAAGAGGAAGCATATATAAAATTAATAAGTATGGTTTAATGATCTTAGGTTTATGTTAAAGCGTTTTGTAAAATTTTTCCGATTAAAATAGTGAACCAGTGGACAAGTTAAACAGTGTTGGTTCATCTGATTTTATGTTGAACCACGAAAAACCGCTTGGCCCATCAATAACCGCCCAAACAATGAACAAAACCGCTATAATAACTGGTTTAACGATTCTACTGGCCCGATTATTAATCCGGTTAGTTTCTTATAACCATGAGTATTATTTACAAATCTTCAACCGGCCCTCTTGGCCTGTCAGGAGAATGGGCTTTAGGTCAATGGGAACGAAGTCAGTACTCAGTAAACGCACCCTAGGTCTATGGTGTGATGTGAGGCCTATAAAGAGATGAAGCAACACGTGCGGGGAGATCTAGTTGCTTCCTTGAAGATCTACGCCCAGAAACTGAAACAGACCGTCTCTTCCAGGTCCTAGAAGAGAACAGAGGGTAGCGTCTTTTTGGTTCTTCGTTGCTTTTTTTAGATCGTCTTAGAAAAGTTAGATACTTGGGCCAGATTCTGTATTATTTTGTGTATTTATTCGCTTTTACCCTTTATCTTTCACTTGAGGAAGACGAAGAAAAGAGGAGAAGCCGGCCCTTGCAAGTGCAAATATGGCCTCCGTCTCTGTTTTTACTCGAGACGAGGTAAGTTTTGTTTTTATCTCTCGAAACTGATTAGTGTGGTTTAGGGAAAGAGTGTAAAGTTGCATACTTTGATTGCTTACTCTACTTTCATCTCGTCTCGCTAGAAAGAAGAAGAAGAAGAAGAAGTAGGTAGCGGTTTGATAGATCGGATTAGTAGCTTACCCGAGGGAATCATTTTGAGCATTCTGTCCCTATTGACCCACAAGGAAGCTGTGAAGACTTCTTTACTTTCCTGCAGATGGGTATATTTTTGGATGTCAGCTCTAACGGTGCTGGATTTTGATTCCCCCAAAGTGTCGCCGGCGAGAAGAACAGAGTTCAAACAATGGGCGAGTAGGGTTGTGAGGCAGCTGAACAATGCCACCACCTCAACCAAGTTTAGGGTTTCGTTCACATTGAGCAATCAGTACAGTTTCGATGGGGATAAAGACCAATGGCTGAAATTCACGATATCAAACAGGTTCGAGTATCTTAAGCTGTGCTCGAGCAATCCTACACCAGCTTCTACCCGTGAGGGCAAGAGTTGTGGTTATGCTTTCCCGGAGGATTGTTTCAATAACATCGTTACACCATCTGGGTTGTCCGATGTCAAGTCCCTCAGATCGTTGCGTCTGAGTTGTGTTGAGGTCGAGGCTCGGACAATTGAACACTTCATCTCTGAGTGCCCCTATCTCGAAGAATTAGCCGTGCACAGGTCGGATTCACTAAGGGAGCTAAAGATTGCTGCTGCTGATATGGGTTCATCTTCATCACTTGCGTTGAAGCGCTTGGAAGTAGTAAGATGCAGATGTCTAATCTCACTGGAGATTTATAATGTCTCGTGCCTCACCCACTTTACATATCGAGGTCATTGGACAATCGGGCTTCGTTTAAAGGATTGTGTTAGCCTTGTGGATGTGAACATAGGCTTTGATGGTTCTTGCATTAAAACTTTAGTATTTGACCTCGTCTCCTGCTATGCTGCTCAGCTGACTGCCCTTGCCGTGTTAATCAGCCCGGTGAGTAGTAGAAGATGAAGCACTGCTATCATTTTCGATGGTTTTGCTATGCTTCAAAACGTGCCTTAAACTACAAAAAATCAAAATGTTCTTGTTGCCTGATACATATTTGTTGTTTGTACAGGTTTTCACCCGGTTTTCGAAAGTGGCAGAATTCGTTCGCCTTAAGCTGTTGACAGTAGAAGCATATCCAACTTTTGTCGTTCATGTCCCTGGTTTGGATACTTTGATAAATGCTTGTCCAAATTTGCATACATTGCGAGTGAAGGTAATTTATTCTTTTGCTGCTTTCATTCTCTCACTCTTTGGCTCGAGTTCAGTATTTTTTGTGATTGTATTTTGGGGTTGCAGATAAATGCCTGCCAACCCCGGGTTATGACTAAAGCAATGCAAGAACGAGACAACATTAAAGGTCGTCATGAGAGCATAAAAGTGGTGGAGATTATCGGTTTTACTTGCCCAAATTGATCCGGTCCAGTTCGGTCTTTTTGGAAATATAATAACCAAAGATTGGATTGGATACAATTCAGTCTTGATCCGGATCCGGTCCCAATTCGGTTTTGATTTTACATTGTGAGCTTGTGGGGATTTGAGTGGCCTAAGGCATGAAAGGGTGAGGAGTTGGTTAAGTTTTGTACTAAGTGCAAAGGTTTGTGACCGTTAATTTAGCTATTCAACTAATGTTTGTTTTGTATGTCCCAAGGTAGGGGTGGTTATACGGTTTGGTTAAATTGGCCCAAATTGATCCGGTCCAGTTCGGTCTTTTTGAAAATATAATAACCAAAGATTGGATTGGATACAATCCAGTCTTGATTCGGATCCGGTCCCAATTCGGTTTTGATTTTATATTGAGCTTGTCGGGATTTGAGTGGCCTAAGGCATGAAAGGGTGAGGAGTTGGTTAAGTTTTGTACTAAGTGCAAAGGTTTGTGACCGTTTATGCAAATTACTCTTAAGTTTTGAGTGTTGAGCTATTTTATCCGTTCTTTATCCAGTTTTCGATCTGGTTCTAAACGGTTTTTTTACCTCAAATCCAAGCCCAAAGATTGGATTGGAATGTTTACTATCTGGTTCGGTCTCGGTCCGGGTTATACGGTCTGGTTTCGAGTAAAATCAAAAAATTCGGACCAAATAGCCAGCCTTATCCCAAGGGTCTTCAATGAATTTTAGAGGACTTGTTCCATAAGATGAGTTATTATGACCAACTCTTTTTAATATATAGAAAAACGCATTTGATTGTTTTATGTTTTCTTTACTAATGTTTGAACTAGATATTGGTTAAATTATAATTATATTTAAAATATTTTACTAAATTTATTGGTCGGATGAATTTTATTTTATTTTATGTTGATCAATTTCTTTCATAACTTTAAATAATTTGAGTTTTTCTAAAATAGTTAATTCATTATTTTAAAGTAATCTTTATGGTATTCTTTTATTATGACATTATCGATAATTAGTTAATATGTATTTTTTTCATCAAGTCGTCTTGGTTTACTGTTGTGTATTTTTTCATATCTTATAAGAAATTTGTAGACTTTTATTATCGGATATGAATTTGGAGTTGTAATGAAATATATGTCATCTAGAATGATAAGAATTAAGAATTAAATGTATATAAGAAAATCAAGAGAATAACAAAAAGATTATGCTTAGAAATCTCAACTATGGAAAAACATGAAAATATAATGCTTGTTATATAAATTATTGTAATTTAGTGTATAGGCTTGTTTGAATAATAAGTAGGAGATGTTAAGTGTTAGATACTAATGCACGTACAAAAGTTAAGAAAATCTAAAGATTATAAATTCTACTATAGCAATATGATCTTTGACTTTTCATATGTAGTTAATAGCATAAATTATCACTCAATTATCTATTTTTCTTAAATGTATCACTCTATTATTTTTCAAATCAAACATGTCATCGTAATATATAGTATATATGTATTATCAAATTAAATTTAGCCATTTTTTATGGCTTATCTTCTCCATTTGCAACTCCCAATAATTAATAGCCACAATCCCATCCTCCATATGTTCTTTCTCTTCCTTCGATCCAACAATAATTAAACGCAAAAACTTGTCTGTCACGAAAGAACCTTGAAGACGGACTTTTGAATTTCAACCACTCTCTGAAAGTCCACGATTATTGATCGATTTGACTCAATCATAAAAGTTGGAACCCAAATTTTTTAGAATATATGGATTTCAAAGTATCAAAGGTTGTCAACCTGGTTTAGCCTGTTGGCTCGGTCGATTAAGTGGGTTAAGAGTTAATGGTCCAATTGTTTTAGTCCGCTTTTGCCCGAATATATGAAAAAGTCATTATATTGTTTATATATTAATTAATTATATAAAATCTCATCTACATATGTATAATTTCTTCCTCGCCCGGACTATCTACATTTGTTTCTCTTTCTGCTACTTTCCGCTATCCTCCTTCGAGCTCCTAAAAAGCATTCCAACAACATGTATTCATCACGCGATAAAGGTTGCACTCCTATGGCGGCGTGTCAGATGTGGAACTAATGAGGAACGATCAAGTGGGAATTGAGCGTGGGGGTTTTGCGAGGGAAGACAATATGTGATGAAATGCGAGTTCTGCCAGTAGTCTCTTTGTATACAGAATTGATTCGACGGATTTAGCTTACCAATTTGCCGTTCGGGAGCTAGAGCGGCAAGGACGGAGCCAGGATTTGAAATTAGGAGGGGGGCGTCAATTTCTTTTTTTTTTTGTTGAGAAATTTTTCCCCATGAGTTCATGACATAAAGAAGAAACAAATTTAGGTTGACGATTTTTTCCATAGATTTACACATATAATCAACGATTTAACTACGAAAAATAATAGGTGATTGATAATTCATGGATAAGATTCCACCCTTTATTGCAATCAAACTAAAATTACGGTCACACGAACATGCAGTGAAATAAAAAATTGAAATCAATTTAGCACGATATTCTGTGAGTTCATGAAGAAAGATTTCAATAGATTCTTAAAAACACACTAAATATCAATTACTTATTTGAAATTTATTCAAATAAGGATGATTTAACTACAAACAATTAAGAACAATTACATAATTCTTGCATAAAATTCAAATATAATTAAGTTTACCATATTGATGAGGGGTATTCTTGCAATATTTCTTGCATCAAATACAATTAAGGTTCTCATAATGATGAAGGGGTTTCCTTGCAAAATTAAAAAGATTAAAGTATGAATAAGGATGAGGGGTGTAAGGAGGGAAATGATATTGATTTCATAAAAAGTAAAGACTTGCCTTCTACACAGTTCGAACCATAGCCAATGAATAATAAATTACCAAGAACAATCATCCCAATCAGGTTGTTACTTGTGAGTTATGAATCACACTTGGAATTATAAACTATCTATAATCTTGGGGGTGGGGGGCCCAGCCAGACGCAACTAAAATTACAAGTCGAACTTACGTAAGCTAGATCTTCATTGTGGCCCCATATGGTAAGTAGACAGCGTGCGACCCAGGGCAAAAAATGCACACCTAGATGGTGCATTGCAAGACCATAATCCACTCTGCCCTTTTGAAAATCTGGTTCACCCTTTGATTATGGTTCTTTAGGCAATGGTAAGGCATCGGCCAGGGGAATGTAGACTTCCTGAAACATTGCACAACGATTTCAGCATCACCACCAACAAAGAAACTCAGGATGAAAGCTTATGTTGTACCAAAAGACCCCTTTCACAAACTTCATTCAAAAAATGGGGTCGGGTAACAAAGCCATAAAAGATAACATTTAACGAGCTAAGAAGCTAATGCTTACGATCAATGATTGAATTGCCTGGCCAAGCAAAGTTGAAGCTTGTTCCAAGACCAAACCTATCACTCTTAGTGGAGGTTCCCCATTCAATCAATACCCTCCGCTTCTACACTTGGTAGCTGAGGAGGAGGCACTAGATAAAATAAAAATGAGTTAGTCGAGGCAAATAACTTAATGCAGAACCAATACAGCAATGGCTTTCCAACAATCACCTATATCGCAGAATACTTGTTTCACCTTAACAAGAAGCTTCGAGATGGTAGACAGAGAAGAATTGGGACTCGGCTGCCGAAGGAAAAAACAGAGATGAGAAGTCATTTTAGTGACAGACATCTCCAACATTCAAAACAACCATAAGCAACACAGAATCAAATGAACTGGTTATTGATACACTGGTTATTGATACACGAAGAGAACTATGTACAACTTGAGGTGTGAATTGCATGCCCTGCAAGCCAGCAGTGCCAGGCAATCCGCCAATCTCTAGCGTGTTCAACACAGACAGAATAACCTACAATTCAAGCAGCAATAAGATAAGAGCTTCCACAACCAAGCCCGTGAGTAGCAATCAAGTGGCATGCAAAACCTAGGGCAAGAACAAGAGAATTCACCAACTGCATACCTCATCCACATTTGGGACCAATCCATAACCTTGATCTTCAGCATTCTCCGTCCCCAGGAAAAAGTTGCGCGTCGTCGACCCAACAACACCAGGCTCTCCAGGTTCCAATGTCAATAGCTGCCAATGACCATTTCTCAGCATATAAAAGCAGTCATGGAAATAACATAATACTTGCTGCCAAAGGACTGAAGGCTTGATTTGACAGGTGTCTGTTGGTGCCTGCAGTTGAACTAATAACCACTTTTCTTTCATATACATTGTTCCTTCCAACTTCTATCTTCAGAATCTAATTGTTAATTGATGATCGACCCCACTACTTTATCTTTGTTAAACTTTCAATACTAGCACTTTGTTTTCTACACAGATTGAAAGAACAGAAAAATAACACACTTACGCCTAAACCTAAACCCTTCCGGAAATTAAACAATATGCGACCCAGCTCCAAAAGCAGAGCACCAAGTTGTTGCGTTACATGACCATACTGCACAATTTCTTCTAGGGGTCGTTTGGATTCAGGTTTTTAATTTGAGGGATTTGTGAGTGATTTTGCCTCAAATTCCTCAACCAAAAAACCAGATATTTATGATTAAGGATTTGTATCAAATCTCTTGTTTGTTTAGAGATGTGGGTTTTTAATTAGAAAAGCCAAAATTCTATTTTACCCTTCTTTGTTCATCTTTTTCTTCGCCGCAAGCATCACTGCGAGACTTTCCTTCTTCAAGCTTCCACCACCGCCAACTCCCTTTTCACACTGTCAAAATCCACCACCAGTCCACCACCTCCAAATCTCTATTCCCATAGTCTCCTCCTCTACCCCCTACCACCACCTGAATCATGATTCATCTCCAAATCCATCCAAAACATAATCCCAACAAAGAAGAGATAATAAAACCCAACGTACCCAGCAGCCTGCCCGAAACTGATCTCGTCACTCAAATACACATAGAACAATGACATAGCCGCCCTTCCTGTAGATTTTCCCTTCACCCTTTTCCCTCTAACGGAGCGGCGACAGAGGCAAACCAACACCGCCCCAGAATCGTAGTCTGCAATTGGAGGACATGAGCGACGTAACTGCTCATCGGCTCCGGCGCAATAGAATAGCACGAGTGAATGGGTGATGGCGACATTTGAATGGATGGCTACGGGAAGATGAGGAGGCGACGATGGCCACAGAAGTGACAATCCGGCGTTGAAGGGTTTTGAGATAATAACGACGGACTGTCGGTGAGAGAGGAAGATGAAGTTTCACCGGCGAAATCATACTCCTCCCTGGAGCGACGATGGGGTGAAGTTTAGTGACGAGTGGTCGAAGGTGGAAGGAGAGGATGAAGGGCCAAGTTGGAACAAGACAAAAAAAAATGAGAGATTTCAAAATAGCTGCCCTTCATCAGCTATTTTGAAATCCTACATATGTGGGTTTTTAGAATCTCTAATGACCACAATT